TTCTTCTATAAGAGAGACCCTCCTCTCCACTTGCAATGGTTGAAAAATTTTGGCTAAGGCATATACATACACCTCTCTCTATCTCTCTACATCCAAGCTCCAAAGCTCCATTGTTCTTGCACCATTGCACTACACCTCCTATCCTAACACCTCCACCATCACTCTAAGAACCTTGGAGCTAGGGGAGGAGATAGGGGTTGTACTCCACGGTTTAGGGGAAGATAGGGGATGGACCTCTAAACCGGATTTTGTTTGGGAGGAGATAGGGGATGGACTCCATTAGCATCACTTTTATGTGTGCTTATTGATATTGAAGTGTTTTGATGATACATCACTAAAATGTGTATCAAATTGGAAGTATGAAGTGTTTTGGTTTGAGCTTGAGTCTCATTTGTTTGTTGACATTGGAAGAATGTGAATATGATATATATTGCATTTGCATACATTGTTTTGTGTGTGGGAGGAGATGGGGGATGTACTCCACGGTTTAGGGGAAGTTAGGGGATGGACCTCTAAACCGGATTTTGTTTGGGAGGAGATAGGGGATGGACTCCATTAGCATCACTTTTATGTGTGCTTATTTATATAGAAGTGTTTTTTTGATACAGCACTAAAATGTGTATCATTCTGGAAGTATGAAGTGTTTGATTTGAGCTTGAGTCTCATTTATTTGTTGACATTGGAAGAATGTGAATATGATATATATTGCATTTGCATACATTGTTTTGTGTGTGGGAGGAGATGGGGGATGTACTCCACGGTTTAGGGGAAGATAGGGGATGGACCTCTAAACCGGATTTTGTTTGGGAGGAGATAGGGGATGGACTCCATTAGCATCACTTTTATGTGTGCTTATTTATAGAAGTGTTTTATTGATACAGCACTAAAATGTGTATCAATCTGGAAGTATGAAGTGTTTTGATTTGAGCTTGAGTCTCATTTGTTTGTTGATAATGGAAGGATGTGAATATGATATATGTAATTCACTGTTGTAAGTTTGGCCAGGTTCTGAGCCATGTTGATAAAATTGGAAGGTAAAATGAGTTTTAGACAATAGTGTTATAAGACTGTAAAATGAAGTAATGGACTATCTTGGTTAACCATCTGTTGAATGCCATTGCTTTATTCATTGGTTATATGTGGTTTAGTATATTTCTACTGGGCTGTGGCTCACCCTTTATGGGAACATCATTTTTCAGGTTCAGGGGATAAGCTACCTCCAAGGACTTAGCTTGGAAGGACTTGGATTCCGAAGACTATTTTTCTGTTACTTGCTTTTATTTGTTAGTACATGTAAAAACTCAAGCCTAGGGCTTTTCTTGTATTGAGTTAGAACTCGTATTTTTTTTTGTAACCAAGTGTTGGCTAGGAAAGATGTAAGCCTGTAGGGCATTTTATTTGATTATTTAGTAATACTCTGATGAATGAATTAATAAAATGTCTTCTTTAAATAATGCATGTCAATGATATATAATAGATTAATTGTGAGGGCGTTACAGTTTTTGAAACAATGGCCGGAGTTTATTGGAGTGCAACGGGAATTTTTTTCAAATTGTAAATATGCCCACCCAAAGAAAATAAAGGGCGGGATTCCAAGTATTATATTATGCAACCCCGGAGCCAATTCTAGTTACAAAGAGTTTTTGGAAAAACATGAGCACGCCGGGCTCAAAGCATGGACGATCCGAAACGCAGAATTCTATACAGTCGACGAGCCCCTGTTCGCCAGAACCAATCAAGAGGAGGCATCGTAATGCGAAGAAGAAGGCCCAACGCAGGAAGATATTCTACTTCCCTTGCGGGTGTTCGTTATTCCACGTCAACGGATGTATCGAACCACATCCACTGGAGAGAGAAGACGCTATCAGGGGTCTTCTACGATACTTTGACGAACCCGATGTGGTTCAAAGCAGTGGACCTCTCCAGACCGGGCAATCAGGGGGTGTACAAGATAGAATGCCTGTTCAACTACAACCTCCGGAAAGCATTGGGAATTCGGACGTTTACAGCGACAATGTATACATGGCTGACATCCCATGGTCGCAGAAGCCTATCGGAGAATGTATTTACCCGGCTTATTGCACGCAGGATGACAAACAAATTATCCAGCTTTGGGATTATTAGCACTGTAAATTATTGTCTCGCACTGACCATTGTACTCGACGAGTTGTCGTATTATGTATCAGGCATTGTTTGCATTGTTTGGTGTTGTTGGAGAGATTGACATGCATTGTTTGCATATCAGCTTCTTTCCTAGCAACTTAAGCTTTTGGGTCTACTGGTGATCTAACATAGTATCATAGCCTTGGTTTCGAAGGGGTCTTGGGTTCAAGTCACTCTATTTAAATTTGCTCCCTGGTTTCGTATGTTTGTCTCTCCACGTGCAAGATGGGTTGCAGATGAAGGTGGGCATTTGAGACCTTACTACACATTATCGGGGATCTTCCCTAATCGTTTAAACTTTTGGAACTAGTGGTGATCTAACAGGTATGGATTCGGGCCTCAAAATACATTGTTGGACCAAGATTGTTCTTCAATTTGGAGAAGCTTACAGGAAACATTCGTTGATGGTTGGAATCACTTGACTGGATATTGGAGAACTATAAGACTACTTGAGTTAGTTATACCTTCTAAATGGGCCTACATGTGGCAAAATAGTTCTTGGGTTGTATATTTCACTTTATTTGTAACATTGTATGGCGTTGGAACAAGGTTTGAAGAACTCTATATTTGTAGTATGCATAAGATTACTTTTTAGCTCAATATACCTCATCCTTTTCTGCAACCCTGCAAGGAAGCTGCAATCAGAAACTTAGCAAATAGAACCTAGAATAAAGTCGGCTACCACCTCTTCAACTTATGGCTGCTTTCATTAAATAGGTGGAAGTATATCAAAAATAGTATGAGAAGCTAGGAGATGATTTAATATGTTCTTAAGGCTCTTAATGGATCCCACCACAATTGCCTTTGTTTTCGCCGACGACCAACAAGGTCCAATGCAGCAGTAATAGATCCGACTCGTATTTTAAAATCAACTTCCTAAATTGGCCTAGATCGCCGAGATCCATTTGCAAAATAATTCACCCCCCTCCAATTATTTTGGCTTATATACAAAATTCCCGCATGCGCTTGCCTTTTTAGATATTTAATCCTGGCCGCAGATCTGGGAGCTGCGCTTGCCTTTTTAGATATTTAATCCTGACCGCAGATCTGGGCACGGAGCGGAGCCCCTAGATGACAACACGCCGCGAATTGCGAAAGGGAGAACCAATCGGGGGACGAAACATGGCGCAGGGGGAGCGTCCCAGGTAATATTAGTGGGACGCTCCTGGGCACCTATATAAGTCACTCCCTCACTCTCTATAATCAGTAAAGTATTTTGGGGAGTGACTTCCGTCATCCGAGGGAGTAAGTGACGTCATTGAGAGTGAGTTATGGCATCAATGCGACGTCGTTTTAGAATCCAAAACAAGAACATATTCCTTACATATGCCCAATGTTCTATTCCTAAAGAGAGATTATTAGAGAAAATTAGAGCGCTGTTCACCGTCAGACCGCCAAATTATGTGAGGGTTGCACATGAATTACATGAGGATGGGCAGCCACATCTCCATGCTCTTGTCGAATTCCCATACCGTTTTCAGACGCAAGATCAACGGTTCTTCAACGTTGCGCACGATCAAAATAGTCGCCATTTCCATCCAAATGTACAAGGGGCATACAACCATCAGAACGTGCTGGAATACATCTCCAAACACGGGGATTACGCGGAATGGGGTGAATTCCGTGAGAGGGGCCACTGCGCTAACCAGAGTAACAAAGAAAATATATATCGAGACGCACTTGCCGTCGGCACCAAGGACGAAGCCCTAGCACTGGTACAAAATGGCGACACAAAATGTTTCTGGTTAAATTATGACAAATTGGCTTCCAATTATGATCGTATTTCATATACTCCGCCATTGCCGTATGTTCATCCATTTACAGACACAGTATGGATCGTTCCAACAGCCATACAGCAATGGGTTGCAGACAATATAAGAGACGAAGCCCAAAGACCGCATCGGCCCAAGAGCATTGTAATTGAAGGCCCATCTAGAATTGGGAAAACATGTTGGGCTAGGTCTTTGGGACCCCATAATTACTGTTCTGGCCACACCGACTTGAGGGACCACAATGACGACGCTTTCTACAACATAATCGATGATGTGGCCCACAGTTTTTGAAACATTAGCGGGAGTTTATTGGAGCGCAACGGGAATTTTTTTCAAATTGTAAATATGCCCACCCAAAGAAAATAAAGGGCGGGATTCCAAGTATTATATTATGCAACCCCGGAGCCAATTCTAGTTACAAAGAGTTTTTGGAAAAACATGAGCATGCCGGGCTCAAAGCGTGGACGATCCGAAACGCAGAATTCTATACAATCGACGAGCCCCTGTTCGCCAGAACCAATCAAGAGGAGGCATCGTAATGCGAAGAAGAAGGCCCAACGCAGGAAGATATTCCACTTCCCTTGCGGGTGTTCGTTATTCCACGTCAACGGATGTATCGAACCACATCCACTGGAGAGAGAAGACGCTATCAGGGGTCTTCTACGATACTTTGACGAACCCGATGTGGTTCTAAGCAGTGGACCTCCCCAGACCGGGCAATCAGGGGGTGTACAAGATAGAATGCCTGTTCAACTACAACCTCCGGAAAGCATTGGGAATCCGGACGTTTACAGCGACAATGTATACATGGCTGACATCCCATGGTCGCAGAAGCCTATCGGAGAATGTATTTACCCGGCTTATTGCACGCAAGATGACGAACAAATTATCCGGCTTTGGGATTATTAGCATTGTAAATTATTGTCTCGCACTGACCATTGTACTCGACGAGTTGTCGTATTATGTATCATGCATTGTTTGCATTGTTTGGTGTTGTTGGAGAGATTGACATGCATTGTTTGCATATCAGCTTCTTTCCTAGCAACTTAAGCTTTTGGGTCTACTGGTGATCTAACATAGTATCATAGCCTTGGTTTCGGAGGGGTCTTGGGTTCAAGTCACTCTATTTAAATTTGCTCCCTGGTTTCGTATGTTTGTCTCTCCACGTGCAAGATGGGTTGCAGATGAAGGTGGGCATTTGAGACCTTACTACACATTATCGGGGATCTTCCCTAATCGTTTAAACTTTTGGAACTAGTGGTGATCTAACAGGTATGGATTCGGGCCTCAAAATACATTGTTGGACCAAGATTGTTCTTCAATTTGGAGAAGCTTACAGGAAACATTCGTTGATGGTTGGAATTACTTGACTGGATATTGGAGAACTATAAGACTACTTGACTTAGTTATACCTTCTAAATGGGCCTACATGTGGCAAAATAGTTCTTGGGTTATATATTTCACTTTATTTGTAACATTGTATGGCGTTGGAACAAGGTTTGAAGAACTCTATATTTGTAGTATGCATAAGATTACTTTTTAGCTCAATATACCTCATCCTTTTCTGCAACCCTGCAAGGAAGCTGCAATAAGAAACTTAGCAAATAGAACCTATAATAAATTCGGCTACCACCTCTTCAACTTATGGCTGCTTTCATTAAATAGGTGGAAGTATATCAAAAATAGTATGAGAAGCTAGGAGATGATTTAATATGTTCTTAAGGCTCTTAATGGATCCCACCACAATTGCCTTTGTCACTTCCATAATTTCCAGTGACTTTCATAATTACCCTCAATCACCATAAACCAGTTGGCATTCATAGAAGCTTTAACATAGAATAGAAAAATGTTTCAGGGTAATTGATGAAGACAATCGTCCTTCAGTTATTTCTCTCATGTTTTATTTCTTTATTTATTTTTTGAACCTCTTGGTTTTCACATGAGACCTCAAAAATCATGGATTTATAATCCCATGACTTTAGTGGATTTTAGTTTCATGATTTGTCAAACTAGTTGGCATGCTTAGTTGATGAATTATCCGGTCATGTACGGAAGAGGCTGCCTTGGGTTGACCTGAAGATTGTCAAGGTAACATTTATGCATGGTAGTATATATATTTGATATGAAATGCTTTTCTTAGTTTTTGGTAGATGATATAATTTCAGAGGCTTATTGAGGTATTTCAATAATCTTTTTAGTTATACTTCTTTGTTGTCTGTTGGAATAGCAACTCATATATGCAAACTTATATGCATTACATGGGAAAAGGAATGCAACAGATGATGAAAAACCTATTAAAAAGAAGAATGAGAAGCCTGTTAAGGTTGAGGTGGGCACAATTGCATGCATCTTTGTTGCCCATATATATTGCTTATCAGTTGATTTAAAGTTTTCTCACGTCTTTTGATTTATTTTCATATATCTGCAAATGTACTACTGCTGTGGATACTCTGCCAAAACCATCTGAAGAAGAACTTAATCCCTAGACAAAAGTGACCTACAATTTGGATTGTGTGGAATGATTATAATAAGATTTGTACATGGGTTTGAGATAATGGAAAGTGAATAATCTTGATTGGGCAAAATCAAATATATGGAATTGTATGGGCTCTTTTATGTGGATTATAATGAGTTGTAATGTGTTGTGACATGTAGGAGTATGACTTGTTGCTATGTTTATAATTCTAGATGAAGTTAGCAAGGAATTCTTGAAAAGACTCTTTTTTTTTAAAAACATATATTTGACTGATATAGAAACAAATGAAAGGGTTTTTCTTCGAAAAGTTGTCATGAATTTTCTTTATGAGAATGGTGTTACCTATATGTATTGTAATTTGAGTATAAAAAGAGCACAAAGAATTTATGTTTATATCACTCTTTAGCACTTCATGATCTCATGTATTTAAGGACTATATTGTTTAGAATAAGGGAAGATTCCTATTGGACTTCGTGTTCATCCCAATTATTTTAACCATTTTTCAGGAACGAACTTTGGAACGTCGGATTGAGGATTGAAGAGTTTATTTTCTATTATTTGGTCATAGTGTAAATGAGAGATGCTTGTTGTAAATGATAGATTCATGTGTATTTCAATGTGAATTTTGTACATGTGCTATTGTTGTATTATTCGAGAGAGAACAATGTTATTGTTGTTACATCATGTAATGGGTGTTTGTATTAATAATTGTAGTTAATTGAATGGACTTGTATTAAATGTTTTGGTTATAATTTTGAGTAATAAAACTTGGGGCGTGACATGAAATGCTTTTCTTAGTTTTTAATAGATGATATAATTTCAGAGGCTTATTGAGGTATTTCAATAATCTTTTCAGTTACACTTCTTTGTTGTCTTTTGGAATAGCAACTCATATATGCAAACTTATATGCATTACTTGGGAAAAGGACTGCAACAGATGATGAAAAGCCTATTAAAAAGAAGAATGAGAAGCCTGTTAAGGTTGAGGTGGGCACAGTTGCGTGCATCTTTGTTGCCCACATATATTACTTATCAGTTGATTTAAAGTTTTCTCACATCTTTTTATTTATTTTCATATATCTACAAATGTACTATTGCAGTGGATACTCTGCCAGAACCATCTGAAGAAGAACTCAATCCCTAGACAAAAGTGACCTACAATTATGTTTGAGGCATGACATGCAATTTGGCAAACATGGGTAATATGCTTTAATGATGCTTTTGAATGGCATTTGTGGTAATTGTTGGTGTGATGCCAAAAGTATGATTAATAGTATTTATTATCTCTTTATGCTCTTTATGGGTTTGGTGATGGAAAATAACTATTAACTTATGTGATGCTGCTCTCAGATTCGTAGCCCATCACCTCCATAACCAAACTTTATATTACATTCTTAAAATTCTAAACTTTTAAAAAAGGGCGTTGCAAGGGCAAAAATTCAAAACAACCCCTAAACCACCATGTGGCTTTCACGGACAACTTCCCCTTGACAAATACGACATGTGACAATTGCGGAATGTAATGCGGACCTGTAAGTTGGGAGTTAGAGCCTAATACGCCTTAAACTTAGTCGCAAAAGGGCGTTCCGGGGGGTGAAAATTCAAAACAGCCCCCGAACCACCATGTGGCACTCACGGACAGCTTCCCCTTGACAAATAGGGCTTGTGTCAACTGACGGAATGTAATTCAAACCCGTAGTTTGGGAGTTAGAGCTGAATATGCCTTAAACTTAGTCTAAAAAGGGCACTCCGAGGGTGAAAATTCAAAACAGCCTCTAAAGCACCGTGTGGCTCTCGCAGACAGGTTCCCCTTGACAAATAGGACTTTTGACAACTGACGGAACGTAATTCGGACCCGTAGGTTGGGAGTTAGAGCCGAATACGCCTTAAACTTAGTCGAAAAAGGTTGTTCTAGGGGAAAAAATTCAAAACAACCCTAGAACCTCCATGTGGCTCTCACGGACAGCTTCCCCTTAACAAATAGGACTTGTGACAATTGACGGAATGTAATTCGCACCCATAGGTTGGGAGTTAGAGCCGAATATGCCTGAAACTTAGTAAAAAAATGGCGTTCGGGGAGCGAAAATTCAAAACAGTCCCTGAACCTTCGTGTGGCTCTCACGAATAGCTTCCCCTTGACAAATAGGACTTGTGGCAACTAGCAGAATGTAATTCAGACTCGTAGGTTGGGAGTTAGAGCTGAATACGCCTTAAACTTAGTCTAAAAAGGGCATTCTGGGGGCAAAAATTCAAAACAGCCCTCGAACCACTATCTGGCTCTTACAGACAGCTTCCCCTTGACAAATAGGACTTGTGACAACTGACAGAATGTAATTCAGACTCGTAGGTTGAGAGTTAGAGCCGAATATGCCTTAAGCTTAGTCGGAAAATGGTGTTCCGGGGATGAAAATTCAAAACATCCCCCGAACCACCATGTGGCTTTCACAAACTACTTCCCCTTGACAAATAGGACTTGTGACAACTGATGGAATCTAATTCAGACACGTGGGTTGACAGTTAGAGCCGAATACGCCTTAAACTTAGTCAGAAAAGGACTTATGACTACTGTTTGTTAGGTTTATTTATTATTTTTTCCTAATCAATTTGTGAAGCATCTTTAATATCAACAAGCAGATTGGATTCATTTAAGAAATGCAAAACATACTTATTAGTATATAAAAATTGGATTTAGTGAAACAGTGCCAAAGAAATGTTATCAGTTGAATTTTGAGATTTTATTAGCATAGTTTATAGTTCATAATTTTCTTTTCTTGGCACATTATATTTTTGTTAGTTCTTCAATGTTTGATATATT